AGGCTGCTTGGAGAACGGCTCTTCTCCAGGGCCCGGAGTTTCCTTGATGACTCTGCGTGTCATTGATGCCGACGAACTGGATGCATCCGGAGGAGGAGTTCGGGGTTTGTGCAGCTTCTTGTAGACCCCCAGCTTCCTCTTGAGCTGCTTCAGCTCCACCGACGTCTTCCCGGGGGAACGGGTAGTCGTTGTGGGCTGGTGTCGGGAGAGGACGTTGACTCCGTGGAAAGGTCCGCTTCTTTCCACACTTCTTAAAAATTTCCCCAAGTTGTCCGGTACCGGTATAATCTCCACAGCTGTCTGCCTTTTTTGGAGTCCCTCCCGAAATTTCTCCAAGGCTCTAGCCCCTCAAAAATCATAAGTTTTCATTAAAGCATCTTTATGAGATAACTTTAACGAATCCTTATAATTTCTTGGGTCTTCAAGGAGTTTCCCCTTCTCGGCAGAGTCTTTTTTCGCGGAGTCGTATTTTTCCTCATAGATTTTCCCTGGCGAAGACTGGTCGTGGGGTGGAGATTTTCCCCCATCATTTCCTCCTTCTCGCGCCGAATCAGCTTCGTCCAAGTTGATTTTCCCGGAATCTCGCGGCCGTTTTCGGATCTTTTCTTTTTCGCCAGCTGGATCCGCGATCACTGGCGACTCCCGTTTTTTGTCTTCTGATTGGCCGAAGGAATTCCGCCACTGTTGCGTGCCCGATACTCTGCGCGTGCGGCTTTCATTTTGTTGCAGTCGAAGATTCGATGACCCGGCACCCCGCAAAAATCACACGTGTAGTTGGTGTTTTTCGGAAGTGGCCGCCCCTCGAACCTGTTGACTTCCATCGGGTCAGCGAACGCGGGGTGAGCCGAGCAGTCCCCCTGTCGCTTACTGCCGACGTGCGTCCGTTGTGTCCCGGCGTTGACCATGTCGAAGCGCTCCGCTGCCGAAACGACGTTACTGTAGCTCGCGTAGTTTGACGCAACCACTTGTCGTTTGACTTCGGTCTTCAGCCCGGCGAGGTACGACTGTACTTTTTCCACTTCGGTCAGGTCGGGATTTCGGTTATAAAATTCTTCCATTTGCTGCGTGTACTGTGCTACACTCCCGAACCGTCGATGTCGATGAATTTTTTCCCGGGCAAGGAAACCTGAATTTATTGGCACGAAGCGTTTCAGCAGGTTGTTGCGGAACTGCTGCCACGTGGCTTCACCGTGGATGAAGGTGCTGTTGCCGCCAATCCACTCGAGTGCCGGCCCTCGCATCAGTGTCGCCGCGAGTCGTACACGTTGACCGTCCCAGACTGGCGAGCTCCATCCGACGGCTGCGAAGTAGATCTCTATCCCGGCGATCCATCTGCGTGCGTCGGTGTTTCGATCGCTCGGATCGAACGGCTCAGGTGGGCGCGGTTTCGGAGCCTCGAGAACCTGCTGCGACTGCTGCGTCGTCGCCGTTGTTGAGACGTGCTGCGCTCCGGCGAGTCGAGTTACTCGCTCGAACTCGCTTCGCCACGCTTCGCCATCGGCTCGCATCTCCTCCTGAAGGGCTGCGATGCGCGCGAAGAGCTGCTGGGTAACCTCGGTGTTGTCGAAGGTTGCCATCCTATTCAAGACACGCGCGGGGGGGGTGATTCGAAAAAGGCGGAGCTGGTGCTTACCAGAATCGGCGTCGAATTGGTCGCCCCCTGCGGTTTTTCGAGGCAGGATTTCCCGCTGCTGCTGCTTTGTTGAGGGCGGATGAGTGAGAAAAGCTCTGATTACCACGTGTTACAGGATCGAATGACTCGAGGAAAGATTACACTATCAATCAGTACAAGGCGCTTTTATACTTCCATGGTACATCAGGTAACCAGGTTTATCTTATCCCAAGGGAATAGACCCTTCTAGAAGATAGAATCACCCTGCGTATAGCCACGCGAGGCTATTGGCTTTAAGGGATTACGGCAGGATTACGCTAGATAGCGCACTAGTACATCCCAAGCCTGGTCGGTGATATAATGATAATAGCAGGATAACCCAAAGGTTAATGGAAAATGGAGAATAGGAAACCAAATGAGATGAGATAAAAAGAGAGATGAAATAGAGAGAAAAGAGAAGAAGGAACAAATGGTGTAACGAGGTCGTACTCTCACAACGCCTCCCTCTCACGCTTGGTCTCGTTGTCCGTCCCATGCTCGTCCTGTCTCTCATATTCAGCGCTCTCACCATATGTTACAACGCTCCTACGCGTCTCGTCCTCCCCTTCTCACGTCGCCTCCTCCGTCGTCGTTTGTTGTCGCTCCGCCTCCTCTGTTTGAGTTCCTTCGTGGTGTTAGTCCTCTTGCCCCATGGGTCCTTGGCTCCCTTGTTACTGACCCGTCTGTTCTTGTCTCGAGTCTTGACGCGCTTGTCATTGTTGTCGCTGACTTCGCCTCTACCCGCCGCCTTGATTATGCCACTGCTCTTGTCTCTGACCCTGCCCATCCTCCGTCGGTCGGGGGCACTCCTGCCCCTGGCTATGACGTCCTGGAGGACTGGCAGTACGAGCTTGCTTTCGTGTCCGAGGTCGCGCCTCATCTCTGCTCCATGCTGCTAGTCCCTGAGGGGGACCCAGACGCCTTCAACATCCCGACCCCTTGCACTTACGCTGAGGCGACCTCGGGACTCTGGGCCTCTTAGTGGATAGCTGCTATGGACGCAGAGATGGCACATTTGAGATCCACCAGTACCTACATCCGTCCTGGAGAGCCGTCGGTGTTCAAGGCGCGCTAAGTTGCGAGAGGCTTCAATCAGCGTGAGGGTGTTGACTTCTTTCAGACCTTCGCCCCGACCCTAAAGATGACTACTCTCCAGGCACTGCTACGAGCTGACTACGAGCTGCATTCTCTCGACTTCTCGACAGCGTTTCTGCAGGGCAGTCTGCCCGAGCAGGTCTACCTGCGTCGCCCGCCAGGCTTCACCGACACCTTCGCCCTGCGGACCCAGTGGCTCCTCCGGCGCCCGGTTTACAGCCTACGGCAAGCACCTCCCGAGTGGCACGACACGCTTCGTGCTACGTTAGCTGACCTGCAGTTCCTTCCGTTGTCTACAGATGGCTCGCTCTTCGTTCGTGCTGGCCAGACCTTGTTCTACATCCTTGTATACGTAGACGACCTGGTCTTTGCTACTGCAGACAGAGAAGCACTGGCCTCCGTGAAGGCTGGGCTGCTGAGGAGACACACCTGCACTGACCTAGGATAGCTGCGCCGTTACCTTGGCCTGTAGATCTCCAGGGACAGAGCAGCGCGCACAATCACTCTCACATAGTCATACTTGGTGCGCCAGCTCCTTTAGCGGTTCGGTCTTCAGTTCTCCTCCGCGCGGCCCACACCTATGCCAGTAGATTACAGGCACTCGGCTCCAGTCCCTGAGGAGTCTGTATAGCCTATTGGTCCTTAGGCAAAGCTAGTGGGTTGCCTTATGTACCTGATAACTTGCACTCGTCTAGATCTCGCATGCCCTCTCAGCATCCTGACTCACTTTGTGGCCACAGGTAGACACCGACCACAGCTCTGGTTGGCCGCTGACAGGGGCTTACGTAATCTAGCAAGTACATCGGGCATGGGGCTAGTATTAGGAGGACACAGATCAGTAGTCCTTACAGGTCACAGAGACGCTTCGTGGGCAGACGACGCTGAGGCCCTCAGGTCCTCCCAGGGTTAATGCTTTAGCCTTGGTGCAGGCGCCATCTCGTGGCGGTCCACGCTTTCGTCGTCTGTTGCCCAGTCTAGCTGTGAGGCTGAGATCTACGCCGGTGCCATGGTGGCACAGGAGCTCCGTTGGCTGACTTTCTTACTCACAGACTTAGCTATAAGAGTACTACTTTTATATTATCTTGACAGGCCTTGTGGCTCTTGTCCCAGTGGTTGGACTAGTAGTACCACCCCGGGTTGCTTTTGTTTAGTTGGTACTCTTGCCGACTTGTCTTCGGACCCTTGCCTCAGAGGTTGGACTAGTAGTGCCACCCTGAGTTGTGTGTCTCTTGCCAAGCACTGCCCCTCATCTAGCATAGGGGGTGTGTTAATATATATATATAGATGTGTCTTATAGGCTAGATAGGTGCGTAATCTTAGAGAGTACAAACCCCTTTGCACAAGAGCACCTTGTATTACACATTCTAGCTATTTATTCTCACTTGGACAGGAACTAGCAATCGCGATTGTATATCCAACGAACGTCAGTAGCACTGCCTTCACCTCATTGAATTTATATACACCAAATCACGCAGTGGGTTTGTTTGGAATGCAGTATTTTCCTTTCCAGACATGAACGTCGCTTTGATCTTTACTCGTGGTTGAGTATTGACTAGCTGATAGAATGGTTGGCATATGTGGTTTTTCTTTTCCTTAATGCATCCTCTGTTACATGCTACATGTGAAAGAAGGGCTGTGAGAGAACCAAACTACACGGAGCAGTGCTGCTGTCCCGATTTTCCACCTCATTCCGTTTCATTCGCACTGGTTTCGTCAAGCGGAACACATTTCCCGAGGTTGGTGGAGACCACTGTCCTGGAAATATTGTCGATTCTCATTTCTCCATGGTCACTGTACTAGCGTGCTGCTCACCCACCTGAAGAAACTCTCGACAGGAACTCAGTGCCTTTGGGACCGGCGGAGTTTTGTCGTTTTCAAATGTATCAGACGTCCAGAACAGCTGTCACGAAAGATAAGTGGGATTGACGAAAGCTGGCGACAGCCACCCAGAATGAGGATACAGCGATTCTTGACATTGACAATGAATAGCGACTCTCTCCCTGCTTGTTACCATTTCGTCAGACGCGAGCTTTCGCTCGTAACGAATATGTCGATCCTGCGACTCGCCACATCTCCCTAGCCCACACCTGGGGAATACTAGAGGGACTGCTTGCGTCCAGTCGTTGGGCCTGCCTGACTCGCGCAGGTGGTTTCATCAGAACCTGAAGAACTGAACGAACGAGGCTCCGTTGCCAGGCACGTAGTCATGGATCTACGTTGCGCATACGACAGCAGCAGCACTTACCAGGCGAGCCACATCAGTCACACAGACGTACGAGAAGTCACCCTAGATGACTTCGATCTTGCAAGTTTCGCAATTGCTTCTCCCTACTCCACCCCATCTAACACCAACTGCTTCTAGATACTCTCCAGTAGTCTAGAGGGAGGTCGCCTGCATCCTGAAGTCCATTACCTCCCAAACATTAGGTTCCAATACCTGACAGGTTTAAACGATCCGAGGAAATTAGGGCAGGGGAGAGACGATGAAGATCTCTCAGGTTCTCCAAGTTGTAGCCGTAGCGCTCCTGGTTTTCGCGCTTTTGCCCGAGTATGGCGCAGCATCCGTCGATGATATTGGCCTTAACGCCGATTTCGAGGTCAGTCACGTTGACATCCGACGTCCCTAGCCTAGTTGAGAGTAATGGGCGGGCGCTACATATTGCTTGTTTCGTCGACAGATCCTGAGGGGAAATCCTTCCCAAAATGGTTTCTTTGGTGATCAACGTCTCCAGGATCTATCCTCCCCTCGCTGCCCGCTAGCCCCTTTCCCACTCTTCCCGGCTGTTGTCTTGTCTAAGCTTCTCCCCTCGCTCTCTACTCCCTTCGCCCTTCTCCTCCCTTCGTCGTTTTGCAGCGATTCGCCGTGCGGTCTTCACGCGGCAATGCGCGCCTAAGGAAGATGCGTATTCTTGCCAGCACGGCCTCCGGCGGTAACACCAACTCGGGTGGTAGCACCGGATCAGCGGGCTCTGCCTCCAACGGCGGCACCAACACCGGCGGCAACACCAAGTCTGGCGGCAGCACGAACACCGGAGGCAGCTCCAATTCCAATGGCGGCACCAACTCCGGTGGCAGCACCAACTCTGGCGGAAGCACCAACACTGCCGGCAATACCGCCACCGGCGGTAGCACCGCTTCTAGCGGCAACACCAACTCCGGCGGCAATACTGGCACCGGCGGCAGCACCAACAGTGGCGGCAGCACCAACGCCGGTGGCAGCACCAACGCCGGTGGCAGCACCAACGCCGGTGGCAGCACCAACGCCGGTGGCAGCACCAACGCCGGTGGCAGCACCAACGCCGGTGGCAGCACCAACGCCGGTGGCAGCACTAACGCCGGTGGCAGCACTAACCCCGGTGGCAGCACCAACCCCGGTGGCGGCACCAACGCTGGTGGCAGCACCAACGCTGGTGGCAGCACCAACACTGGTGGCAGCACCAACACTGGTGGCAGCACCAACACTGGTGGCAGCACCAACGCTGGTGGCAGCACCAACACTGGTGGCAGCACCAACGCTGGTGGCAGCACCAACACTGGCGGCAGCACCAACGGCGGCGGCAGCACCAACGGCGGCGGCAGCACCAACGGTGGCGGCAGCACCAACGGCGGTGGCAGCACCAACGGCGGTGGCAGCACCAACAGCGGCGGCAGCACCAACGGCGGCGGCAGCACCAACAGCGGCGGCAGCACCAACAGCGGCGGCAGCACCAACGGCGGCGGCAGCACCAACGGCGGCGGCAGTACCAACGGCGGCGGCAGCACCAACGGCGGCGGCAGCACCAACAGTGGCGGCAGCACCAACAGCGGCGGCAGCACCAACAGCGGCGGCAGCACCAACAGCGGCGGTAGCACGAACTCAGGTGGTAGCACCAACAGCGGCGGTGTCACTGGTACCGCTGGCGGCACCAGCTCTACCGGGGGCGTTGTGCTTCAGCCCAATGGCTGCCTGCAGAACCAAACCCTCTGCGGCGCGTAAGTCTTTAAGTGTTTTAATTTCTTCGCCAATTCCCTGTGACGTCGGTTTTTCCATCATCGTTCTAAGTTTTGCTCTCTTCGTACTTTGACCTGCAGTCTTTGCGTCGACACCAAGAGCGACCCGAACCATTGCGGCAGCTGCAACCGATACTGCGCCACCGACTTCATGTGCTGCGCTGGGACTTGCACCTCCCTTCTCACGGACAAGAAGAACTGCGGCCGCTGCGGGAGGTTCTGCCGCGGAACCTGCATGGCTGGTACCTGCGACTATGGCGCGGTCAGCACACCCGCCAAGAAGTAACGAAGTTACCATTTGTAACTACAACGATCGCGGTACCATCGGATTTGATTTGGTTGTTTGTGGCAATGGGCCTGCCTCAGAACCAAAGGCTCGTAGTATCCCACACGCCCTATTTGAAATTTGTTATGCTATTTTGTACTTTAAAGCCCTCGTCCCCCTGTTAATCCAGATGTATTACAGTGTCTAAGAGATGCTGCTTACAATAATGTGTTCGGGTCCGTAGTTTCTATTCGTTTGTTCACGATTTCTCATCGGCTCTGGGCGGAGATGACTTTCTTGGGAGTAGAGCAGGCTCAGTCCCAACTACAAAACCCCTCTAAACCCCTAAAGGCTGTCGTGCAAACCTTAGCATACCATTTATCAAGTTTTGGGGTTTTTTTCCGACCGTTGCACCCTCGAGATATTGCCTTTCACGAAGAACTATTGTGGCGAAAAACACCGTCTCGTAAGGGTTTTCCCAGTTTCCTGGCTAATTTGACGACAGCTGGCGGGCGAGGTCCCCACCGTTGACGCTCAAATCAGTCCGTCTCTGCCAGGATGAATCGACAACCACACTTCCAGAAGTCGTCAAAACGACTGACTAGGGTTTCTCTGTTCCGTCAATCCACAAGTTCCACCAGTGCCACAATCCCCCATATGCCTGTTCAATTCCTTGGTATCGTTTTGTCGCTCTCCTCAAAGCTGTTAGCTGGTCAAGTTCTTGAAGCCAGTCATTCACTGTCGAGCAGCTTGACAGGAGAGTGTGAAAGGTGAGCCGGACATGAATCTTGGATGTTCTGCTTCCTGCGAGTCGCCAATGCTGACTTCCTGCCAGGCCATGGTGCCTTGGAGGAACAGGCCGTTCTGATCCCGTTTCATCTTCGCACGAAATCGATACGGTACCGACGTACGGTACGGTACGCGCTGGTAACGCTCCCGTTGTTTTCCTTCTCCTTTGGTGTCGTCAGTTCACCTCGACCGAGTCGATGCTGCGAATCGTCAGCTTTGTTCTCTGCAGGAGATCTCATGTCTTTCTCGACTGCGACATAGACGTCGTAGCGTCAGCCCATCCTTGATGAACGACAGCGCCTGTCTCAGCTGCGACTTCGTGCATTCGCGAAACGCGACCCCTTCATTAGCTTCGTTTTCTTTCTCAGAAGCTTTGGTATGCCGAAGTCACCGCCACGGTGGCTTTCGTTAAATATTTCCGGTTTTGGTCAACATCGGGCTCTACTCATGAATCTTGGAACTGCAAGACCACCCTAAAATGATTCCGACTTGAGATGCAGACACAAGAGCGGCCCCGGGCTCCCAGTTCCGCTGAACGCAACAATTATTCTGGTGATTTGCGACCTGCAACGCATGCACTTCTGCAGAAACTTTTCACTAAATCGCGACGGCTTTTTGGTTCACAATTCAGCGTCGCGACTCTCGTGGAATCAACGGAGATCACAAAAAGAAATGGAGGGGATTGACCTTTCATTACTTCTTCATATGCAACTCACATCCTTACTCATGGGAAATAACCAGGCCGCTCTCCTGTCCTGAAATCCTTTCATTACACTCCGTACATAAATCCTCACTGGTGCGATGCGACCGGGCCGTCCTCGTGCGCTGAGGACACCGTCGCTGAAGAGGCGCAGGACTCAGACCGCTGAAACACAGATCCTCTTCTGAGCGACGGCCCGTAACAAGCAGGGATTGTCTGGTGTCTCCTGACCAAGTTCCTCCCATGACATAGAGAGAGGGATCATGGAGCACACACAACACAATCAAGGCGTGTTCAGCGCGTTCACTTTACCCTAACACGCACTTATAATATCTTCTGTACATGTTCAAAAAAATGTAACGGCGAGTGTAGCTGTCACGAGGCTCACCTTTTGTAAGGAATTTCCATTCCTTACTGAGTTGTACGCTAGCGCGTACACCCGAACTCCTCGACTAGTCACGTTCGGCCTCAATTATCGGCCCAACCCTTTCCCGAGTCGCGTCCGGCACTGTCGTCACATTGCCGAACCTACCCACGTACCGAGGTTATCGCCCTAGCACGCCAACCCCTATATAACCTCGTGACTTCATTGCAATAGTGACATTGTATTCTCACGTTATAGTACATTGACACATCCTATATCATACCGTAACAGATGGTATCAGAGCCCGAACTTTCCAAGAACCTTTCGTTTTTCCGTTTAATCAGTTAAGGGTGGTCAGAGGGGATTAACACGGCTGCACAGCCAGGCCTGGCGTAAAAAAAAAAAACCCCTGAGCTGTCGACTAAAAAAAAAAAATTACCCTGAGGGCTTAGTGTTCAAAATTTGCCTACCCTGATTTGTAAGTGTTTGGAAATCAAGAACCCTGAAAATCCCAGGGTTCACCGAACGCATTCAGGGTTGCCTTCAACACGAGGGGGGAATAAAAAATGGGGGGGAAAAGGGGAGGGAATCAAACCGAGGGGAGGGGAAGAGCGAAACGGAGGGGAAGGGGGAGGATGGAAACATAGGGGAAGAGAGGAAGCGAAACGGGGAGGGAAAAAGTGGGGGGAGGGGGGGGGTTTCGAAATACAGTAGAGAGGAATGGGAGAAGCGAAACGGAGGGGAAGGGGGAATCGAAACAGAGGGGAGAGGGGTGTCAAATATATGTATAACTCATATTTGTATAGACTGTATAGGGTCACCTCTTAGAGGGTACAACACTCTTAGGTATATACCCTTGTTCTCTCCCTCTATGCTATTATTCAGTTTTCTTTTTATATGGTATCACCCGTAGGTTCGACCCCCCCCCCCCCCCCCACCTACCGCTTCCGCCCGTTCCTCCTAGGCCCCGTCGCGCCGCCCCCACCTAGGCCCCGTAGCGCCCCTCCTGGGCCCCACTCGCGCCTCCTAGCCCGTCGTGCCCCTCCTGGGCCCCTGTCGCGCCTCTTAGCCCGTCGCGCCCCTCCTGGGCCCCTATTGCACCTCCTAGCCCGTCACGCCCCTCTTGGGCCCCACTCGCGCCTCCTAGCCCGTCGCGCCCCTCCTCGGCCCCTGTCGCGCCTCCTAGCCCGTCGCGCCCCTCCTGGGCCCCTGCCGCGCCTCCTAGCCCGTCGCTCCCCTCCTGGGCCCCTATTGAGCCTCCTAGACCGTCGCGCCCCTCCTGGGCCCCACTCGCGCCTCCTAGCCCGTCGCGCCCCTCCTAGGCCCCTGTCCCGCCTCCTAGCCCGTCGCGCCCCTCCTGGGCCCCTGCCGCGCCTCCTAGCCCGTCGCGCCCCTCCTGGGCCCCTATTGCGCCTCCTAGCCCGTCGCGCCCCTCCTGGGCCCCTGGCGCGCCACCTAGCCCGTCACGCCCCTCCTGGGTCCCTCTCGCGCCTCCTAGCCCGTCGCGCCCCTCCTGGGCCCCTGCCGCGCCTGCCCGGCCCTGCCGCGCCTCCTGGCCCCGCCGCCCCTGACTGGCCCGCCGCACCTGCCAGGCCCTGCCGCGCCTGCCTGGCCCCGCCGCACCTGCTTGGCCCCGCCGCGACTTCTGGCCCCGCCGCGCCTGCCTGGCCCTGCCGCGCCTCCTGGCCCCGACGCCCCTGACTGGCCCGCCGCGCCTGCCTGGCCCTGCCGCGCCTGCCTGGCCCCGCTGCACCTGCCTGGCCCCGCCGCGCCTTCTGGCCCCGCCGTGCCTGCCTGGCCCCGCCGCACCTGCCTGGCCCCGCCGCGCCTTCTGGCCCCGCCGCGTCTGCCTGGCCCCGCCGCACTGCCTGGCCCCGCCGCGCCTGCCTGGCCCTGCCGCGCCTCCTGGCCCCGCCGCCCCTGGCTGGCCCGCCGCGCCTGCCTGGCCGTGCCGCGCCTACCTGGCCCCACCGCACCTGCCTGGCCCCGCCGCGCCTTCTGGCCCCGCCGTGCCTCCTGGCCCCGTCGCCCCTGACTGGCCCGCCGCGCCTGCCTGGCCCTGCCGTGCCTGCCTGGCCCCACCGTCCCTGCCTGGCCCTTTCGCCCCGGCTCGTCCTGCTGTGCCGCCTCGGGCTCCGTCTCCTCCGCTCGCCCGTGCTGAGGCACTTCGTGGCCACTGTGCTGGAGGGGGCTGTAGCTGAGTTCCTGTGGAGCTGTGCCGCTGACCCTGCACGATGGCGGACTTCGTGCTCCGACTGGACGCCGATGGCCATGCGGTTGACTTCGCCGCCTGGCTCTCCGATCTCCGCCGCCACCTCACAGGTCAGCGTCAGGATGGCCACTCTTTGGTTGTCCATGTTGACGGCTTGCTCCCCCGCCCCCCTGTACCTGCTCCCCTCCCTGCTGATCCCTCCTCTGATGACCGTGAGACCTTCTCTACTGCTGCGCTTGCCCGTGCGGTCTGGGACTCCCGCGATGCAGTCGCTCAGGTAGCCATTAGCCATGCCCTTCCTGTCTTTGAGCGCTCGCGTTTTGCTACTATTGAGACGGCCAAAGCTTACTTAGACGCTGTTATTGCCCGCTATTCCACACCCGCGTCTGCTTCTGCTGGTCGCCTGCTCTTCCCTATGCTTTTCCCAGACCTTGCAGCTTTCCCTACCGTCGCAGACTTTGCCACTCACCTGCGTGCTCTAGAGACCCGCTATCGCACTGCCAGCACTGCTGCCCAGCTCACTGCGCTCCCCTCCCCTTTCTGCATGACGCTCTATTTTATTGCCATGCGCCTGCCAGACCGCCTCGCTAGTGCTCGCGATCAATTCCTTAGCCTGCACCCGGCTGACCTCACTCTCACTGCCTTTGTCGACACCCTCACCGAGATCGAGACTCGCCAGCGCACTATCGCTCAGTCGAGCGGTGCGCCGGCAGTCTCTATCTTTCACGGCTGTGCCCCCTCCCAGTGCACGTTCACTGACGTTTCGGCTGCGGTCGCCACGGCGACCCCTCTCACCGAGACGGCTGCTGCGGTCCACCCGCAGCAGCGCTCGCGCCGCGGTGGCCGTGGTCGCCAGGGTGGTAGGGGTGGTGGTGCAGGTAGTGGTGCTGGTGGTCGTGAGAGTAGTCTGTCTGGGGGGACTAGCATTGGTGGTCAGGAGCAGCAGCCCCAGCCGCAGCAGGAGCAGCCCGCGCCGCAGCCGCCGTCCTAGCAGCAGCCGCCGTCCCAGCCGCAGCCCCCGCAGCAGTGGGCTCGCCTCCCGCCTGTTTGGCCCGGCTCCTCAGGGGGTGGTGGCAGTGGTGGCGGCCCGCGCAGCTTGGCGTCTACCAGCGGCTCCGGTGCTGTCACCTGTCAGTACCAGCTTCAGACCGGGCCCCTTCGCGGCACTCTGTGCCGCCGCCTGCACCCGACTGCCCGCTGTTTCCGCCGCCTCGACGATCTGTTTCGTCGTCGCTTTGGCCCGGCCCCGGACCTCCCCGACTGGCACAGCCTGCTCCGCCAGGGCGTGCCGATCTTTGAGTTAGACATGGATCAGATAGGTGCTGCTTTGCATGCCATGTATTCTGACGCTGCTAGTGTTGCTGGATCTTATTATCCTGTGTTCTCTAGTTTAGGTGTTGCACCGTTGTGTAGCCTAGCCTCCCCTGCTGCGTCAGGCGTAGGACTGCCTAGTTTGTCCAGCCTCGTCTCTGCACCGGCTCCGTTCCCCGCCCCTGCCACTGCTGCGCTGTCCTTCACTCTCGACTCTGGTGCTTCTGCCTGCTTCTTCCGCGACTGTTCCGCACTTACGCCGCTTGCTACGCCAGCTGTCGTCTCTCTCGCCGACCCCTCTGCGGGTCCTGTCGTCGCTCGCAGTTCTACGTCCCTTCCCTGTCCAGCCGTTCCCTCGGGCTCCCTTACATGCCTCCACGTTCCCTCATTCTCGAGGAACCTGGTTGGTGTCGGCTGTCTCCAGGACCTCGGCCTCACCACCACGTTCCCCGGGCACGAGCGGTTCGCTGTCTGTTCTAAGGCTGTCTCAGGTTCCCCCCTTGCGACGTTCCCCAGGGACCCAGTGTCCGGTCTGTTTACCCTAGACACCGCCTCCCCTCCGGCTGGTGCGTCCTCCCAGGTTGCTGCAGCTTGCTCGTGTCGTTCCCTCACTCACCCGTCCCTTCTCTGGCACCACCGCTTAGGTCACCCTGCTCTCCCTCGTCTGCGTCACATGTCCCAGCACGGCCTTGTCTTAGGTCTCCCTGTGTCGCTCCCCGCCCTTCCTCCCTCGACTGCGCCACCGTGCACGCCTTGCGTCGAGGGCCGGCTCCGCCGTGCCCCTCACTCCTCCTCGCTGCGCCCAGCTACTGCCCCCCTTCAGACCCTGCACCTGGACGTTTGGGGCCCTGCCCCCGTCCCCGGACCGCGCGGTGAGCGCTACTTCCTTGTGCTCGTCGACGACTACACGCGCTACACCACGGTGTTTCCCCAGGAGCGGAAGGCCGACGTGCCCGACGTTCTTCTCCCGTGGGTTGTGGCTGCGCGTCTCCACCGCGGTCTCCCCGTGTTGTGTCTCCACTCCGACCGTGGCGGCGAGTTCGCCTCTGGTCGGCTTGGACAGTTCTGTCGTGCGGAGGGC